AGATAAGGAAAGTCGGAATAAAAATTGGGCCTAGCTTTAACCTGGTACACATACTGCGGGAGTTTCAATTAATGTAGACTTTTTCATGTCTTTGTTATTTAATTGTTGAAATTTCTATTGTTGGTCAATCGAATAGCACTTCTTTTCCATGTCTTTTATATTTACCCCTCTATCCATTAGTCCCGCAAACTTAAGTGAATATGCACAATTAACGGCTCAAAATATGCAAAAGAAAAAAAGTGTTCCAATCTTCCGCACTTTCCCATATAAGTTCATGCAATTTTTAATTATTTTCAGATTATGACAAACCTATGAATAAAATTCCTCTTGCCCTATCCAGTGTGATAGTTTTTTTCAGTAATGTGTATAAGCCTACCACTGAGTTGCACTCTATTATTTTTCACGTTCAGACACATTCTCATCACATCAATTCTCTGATCCACTTTTCTTATATAGCCAGCTAATTTTTTTTTCTGATTATTATCTCGTCCAAACTCCATTAAATTTATTAATCAGTTAAGTATGAACTTCCATCACGTTATTCTGGCCCTTATTAGATTGTTTTATTTAACGAATGCAACACCGGAACCCGACGCTTTTTTGTTTGTTCTAAAAACACACATTTATTACATTGCTTTTACCTAAGGATCCTCTCATTTTGTTCCCAAATTTATTGTAAAAATATTATCGTAATAGTTCAAGTTTTGCCACTGGTCATCTTTCAGTGTTGATCTTAATCACATCAGCGTATATGGTGGGAGCGGACTTCGATGGCCGTATGGTCGTATCGCTCCCTCCTGTCCATATCAAAACTGTTTATATGCTGTGGCTGTTTCATTGATGACTTTTTTTTTGTTTGACAAAATATTAAATCTCTCTTTCTCGTTGTTCTGCCATTGGTAAGAACGTTTACAATTCAATTATGCAGCTAGAGTGTCTGAAAAGGGCGAATTTATAATGTAACATTGACATCAATATTTAGCTACAGTCGCATTTACTGTCGAAAAATTCATCAAATTACATTTATAAATATAACATTTTGGTATAACAGCATGCCTCAGTGCTGCTCAAAGATTAAAAAAACTCTGACAATGGTGCAAGAAGTGGTACAACACAAATTTTTGGGAGAGTTTGTTTTATGTTTATCTATTTTCAAAATACTAAGTTTAGTCTAATTGTGTAGTGTAATTGAGCGAAAATTTTAGCAAATTACAGTTACACAGAATGAAAATGCCTCCATTACATTACAATTACATGAATAACTGTAATTAATTAAATCAATTACAATTGATCCAACTCTGGTGTCTACTATCCCAATGGAAAAATCAACATGGAGGATTTGTTGCGCCATCAGGACGTCTTGGTTATCAGTAAATTTCGGAATCCGGGAGGCCAGACGTCGATTTCGGGACTATCCCGGGACGGTTGGTAGAATCATCAGGTCTTGAATAGTACTAGATTTTGCCTACTTTCCCGATTTTCCGTAGGCTATATGTGTGTGTTGACTTGCATTGCCTATATATTTGTTTTAGGGTTACGGAAAATCGAAATGAACTTTGCTAACCGTGCGTTGCGTCTATATTATGTTTGTTACCGAGCGGCGTGGGTTGTTAATGTGAGTGCCCCGTATTGGGTTCGATACCGGTACTGATTGAGACGTCCTAACGGCTTTCTGCGCCCTCGGAATATAACTACTGATTTAAATCTGCCCCAATAGCCTTTTAAAATAACTAAAATTAGGCTTGTTTGCGTTACACTACCCGAGCCGAATTATCGAAAATGGCGTCCATATGACGCCATAGTGGGACAAGTTAGTTGCACGGGGTTGCGTAAAAGTACGGTGCTTGCCATCTTGTTGTTATGTAATATCTATGGGTGATCACTGCCGATTCTTATGGCGACGGTATCACCATCAGGGGCGATAGAGAAACCCAGAGATGTTTTTGAACGAGTTCGCCGATTTAGCTCTAGGGAAATATTTTCGGTATCTGTATTTTAACAGATACCGGTACCGGTAGGCCTACTGTTAAAATTATCAACTTGGCAAGCGAATGTGTTAGAAAAATATTTAATATCTGACAAAGCAGGTGAATGCAAAAAGGAATATACCGGTAACACACAAGAGCCGTCAGCTTCCTTTTATGTACCGACTACCGGGACCAGGAAAAGAAAAGTTATCATCAAGTAATTAATTCCATGCTGACGCTTGATATTTGGTCACAAGATTGAAGGTAGTCTATAATATTTTAATGGTTTTAATTAAAATATATAAAATATTTGTTACTGCAAGAAGGTTTACAACTTGCAGACATGGGTTGTAGTACAGAATATTATGGAAATACAGTTTGTTTTTCGCCAAACCTAAATAACAATTTTGATTGAATTGTATGCCAATCGGAATCCCATGGCCTGGTTTTTGGGTAGTATGGATCAAATGTGCATGAAATGTAAAACTTGTACGGTACTTGAAGACTTGTAGTAATTTAATGTTGATGCTGTAATAAAATCAATATTTTATTTCAATGCCCCCTGATTTGTATCAATTAAAGTGACTGTGTCGGGAGTTCGAAAACAAGAAGTTTAAGGTATATTTCTTATCATTATTCTCTCCATTCCAGAACTATGGAGGTTTCCCAAACTGCTTTCAACTCAGTCTGGAGCACATATCAAAAAAATTCGATTGAAATGGATAAAGCTGCTGGACACAGACTCTAGTCTTGGGTATGAAAGATGTTTTATATCAAGATTTCTAACTCTTGTTTTCACTCTTTGTATTTGTGACATTCCAAGACAAACACTTGAAACTAAATAATTAATGCAATGAAAATAAAATTTAAATGGTTCAAAGAAATTTGTCCAAAATGTTCTGGCTGAAACAACTAAATCAATCGGATCAATAACCTTGCAATTAATATGAATTTCTTTTTTTCTCCCGTTTTAGGTTCTGTACTGTTATAGTCCAACCTTACTTTTCCTATTCTAATCTATCATAGTTGGGTCTGATTCAGGATATTGAAATTTTGAATATGAAAACCTTGCATTCATATACTTTTTTTGTGGTTCTATCATATTATTGGCCCACCAGTGAGCTAATCATAAGTGAGGATTAGTTAGATGAGGCAATAGCAAGACATTACACACTGCGGTAATGGACTGGTTTGAACTTCTAGATCAGCCCTAATCAGCCTAGTATCAAGCGAATGTTTCATGGGTGCCTGTCTACTGTCTTGCTTAGAAATCAGAAATAAAAACCTTGATCAAATCAAAAGTTTTTGCATTCTGCATGAAATAAATTGCAGGTACTCCTGTAGTATGTGGACCAAGATGGGGGACACCAAAACGTAGTATGTGTACCAGTTCAGGATTAGGCCATATTTTGATTCCAAGTTTTCTTATTTTAGTCCTATTACGAGTTCGGGGACTAGCCAAGTGACTCCAAGTGAAATAAAAAAACTTGCTAATTAATCCCATATTATGTAATGTTGATATGTAAATTAGCTTTAATATACCGTATATACTCGTTTTACCACCCGATCTTGATTAAGGGCCCATTTGAATAGCCGCCCGTGTGAACAGAACATAAAAATAAATAAGGGCCGGTGCTTGAATACCCGCCCGATGTGAAAGCTGATTTTTCAGTGGAAGAGAAAAATAGGAAATAAGAAGAAGTTTTGGCACAACGCTGTTGAATTTTAAGCGCTGGTAGATAACAGTCACGCCTTGGTCGTCCAATTACATAACAGATAGCATTAATTACGTAACACCGTGGTTCTCAAACTGGGCGTCGCGACGCTCAAGTGCGTCGTTTCAATATTGATAAGGCGTCGCAAAACTTTTCTTCTTTTGCGGATTTGTACCTGGGGTACGTAGAAAAAGTGCCTGAATAAGGGCCGGTTTGAATAAGGGCACGGTTAGTGAGTTTGGTTAAAAAAATATGGGCCCGGGCTATAAAACAAGCAAATACGGTATTCTTATTGTTGTGCACAAGTCACACTCCAGCTTTAAGTAGTTTATAATGTCATAGCTAATCAAATCAGTATTATAGTAATGATAAAGAGTTCGGCACCAAATTCAGAAAATTCTACCTTGGTTGGGAAAAGAAGCTCCATAGTATTTTGAATTGTTTTAAACTTCTCAGGGCCCTGGAAACACAATAGTTAACTAGTGATTTTGAATCTTATTTTCTGGTTAGACTCTTAAGAATATTTTAAATGCTCAGATCATACAAATATTGTCCACATCATTAATGCTGAATGCGTCATATCAGAAATATTTTAAATTAAAAAAAGTAGCGTTTATGTGGGCTACACTGCAACAATCAAACTTATCAATGCTCTCTAACATACACTTCCAAGTGATTTATTTTCATCTATTATCCCAGGATCATGACAGTGCTGCTGAAAGTCTTGCCGAACAGGCTTCAACTCTCAAGAAAGAGATGGAAGCAAGAAACACATATCAAGAAAATTTGATTGAACTGAACAAAGTTGCTGGACACAGACCAAGGTCTACTTTAGTCTTAGGTACGACAAATTTTAAAAGAACCAGTACTAGCTTTGTGTATTTTGTAACGCAATATTTATTCTATTATCTTAACTTGCCTGTATGATATTTTCGGACATAAATGTTCGATTTTTATTTTTACCGAACACTGGAGCCCGGGCCACCAAACCATTCAATGTGGCCTTGTCAACACTCAAATTTACCCATCAAGCATAAAAGCTGAATCTAACAGTTATGTTAAAAAAGCTGCTCATGTGGGTAAAAATACATGTTTTCAAAGTTTTGACTTGTGTCTTTATTATTGGAACGCTGAGCAACAGTCGTATTCTTTTGTCTTTCTCGCTTTGTTTTTTTGTGTTTCCCAGCTAATTGTATGAAGTTGGTTGTATGGCCAACCGAAAAAAAATGTTGCACACCCCCCTTAATAGTAAAAAAAATAATAAAATGTAAATCTCAAACAAAGTTATGTTTGCCAAATTCCCATTTCTGTCTCCAAGGTATTCAGCAAGAAAATAATGCAATTCGGTCCCTACAACATGAGAACGATGAATTGCGACAAAGTTTGACCGACCACCAGAACGCATTGAAACTTATCATGACCAAGTACAGACAGCAGATGATGAAATTTACAAAGCACCAAAAGTATGTGGATCTTGTCAATGTATTTCATAATCTCAGTGAGAGGAAAGTCTATTGTTTTACTATAAAATGGCTGTATTATTACTAATGAACATTTAATTGAAGTTCCATTCTTTCAGAATACCTTATGGTTCTAATACGAACAATCCTATTTCCCGTAGAAATGGCAAATTAAGGTTTTATCCTAGGTTTTGGCCAGTTCAGTGCAGCGGCTCCAAAAGTTTACATTCAAATACGACAGTCTATATAATATATGTCCAGGGTGTCCATGAAGTCCCTTTACAATTTCAATTTTGTTGTGAAGTCAGTTCTCAATATATCTTAACCATTTTTTTTTCAAATCGGTAATTGTTTAAGTATTTTTACTTCATTTAGTACATCTGTGAGGGCCGAAACAATATATGGTATCGATAAATTTCTTCCCAATTTTGGAAAATTTTACGACTTCATGGACACCCTATATATTGTTTGAATGATATCGAATACTTGTACTTGTATTTAGAACAAAATATACTTTTTATCAGGTTTAACATTATTATCAGACCTGCTACACTTTAAATTTACTATGTTTTGCAAGTATTAGTGTTAAGTATTGTACTGGGGTACCTTGAGCCTATGGAATGTTCCAATGGGGTTCCACTCCACCAAAAAGGTTGAGAACCAGTGGATTAGGCATATTGGAGCGACAATTCTAAAAGCTAAGAAGAACACATTATAGCATGGGGTGTGCAACCTTTAATACAGGAGGTCCAGATAGAAATAACTGGGCGAAACCTGTTACGGCTTTGTAAAGTACCAAATTGAATTTAATTGAAAACTGATTTCGCGGTCTGTACACCATTCAAAATTGCCACTCTTGTGGGCCGCATTTGGCCCATGGGCCAGTCGCAGGTTGCGCACCCCTGCATTATAGTATTTGTAAATCAATATTGAAAATCCAAAGCCGTATAGCTGAATAATATTCACAAAGAATAATTACTAAGTTTTACTTGGATTCAAATATTTCAACAAAATCAATGAACCGTGGCTTGACAGCATTTTTAGATTTATTTATATCTTTCGTTTTCAGCATCCAGATCACTGAAAACACTTATCAAGCAGAAAAACAATATCAAGAAGAGAATATGGAACTCGTTGATAAGGTAACGAGACCAAGTTTATTCTAACCCTCAATTATGTCGTAGTACTTTACTGCTTGGTCAACCCACAATTTCAGTTACGCTGGCCCACAATCCTGGTCCCACGTTTCAGTTTAGTGCAAATTTGATTATGGGCATTGGTTTGGATGTAAAAGAACATGTTATTAGTCCCATAACTAAATTCGTTCGGTATACCCTGCTAAGAATCCCGTAATTGCTGTAAATATATGCACGATTAACCCTCTGACTTCCACAAAATGGCAATTTGTGGGAGTAACCTTGCATAACATTGAGCCTTTTTATGTATAACCTTATAGTAGAAACAGTGTGTACCAATATGGAGGTAACTAATTTTGTTCGCCTATTTTACATCAAGTCGTGTAAAGGGACTGAAATCTATGGACAGGGAGTATATTCACTTGGCTAACACAGACAGTCCTCGTACTTGTAATAGAACTAAAATAAGGAAAATCGGAGTTATGGCCTAACTCGAACCTGGTACACACACTACCTACAGGATTTCTGAAATAGGCATCTTGATTAATCAAGTTCAGTTTATTATATATTTGCCATTGATATCAAACGATATGTAATGGGCTACTATTGTTTGAAAGACTGGAATTTTTCTTAGTTGGCAATCTTGTCAATAGTAATGCTAGCGGTTTGACAATAATTATTCAAGCAAAATATTTCAACCACATGGTGGCGCTGAAGGTTCAATTATTTCAAAACAAAATAGATGGCAGTTTTATCTTAAAAAAACATTGATTATCTTTCCATGTTTCAGATCCACGGGATGGCTGCTGTGATGAGGCATGCTGCGGATGTTGATGATGAGCAATATCTCAGAGATTACGAAGAATTATCCCGATTGCAAACAGAAAATGACATTTTAAGAGAAATGCTGATGATATCTAAGAGTTCATTTGGATCAAGACCTAAAATGGTGCTCACTGACGATACTACTAGTGATAAGACAGTTATACATGAGGGGGAATCCCCCTAAGACTACCCCAACAATCAGACAATTATTTATTTTACAATAAGGAGGAAGTTTATGTTCCTTCGAAGGGTGCTCAAGTAGTATGTGTATCAGGTTAGGGTTAGGCCATAATTTTATTCCTCTTTCCTTATTTCAGTGCTATTTTGAGTTCACGACTGTCTGTGTTAGCCAAGTGGATATACCCCCTGCCCATAGGTTTCAGTCCTTTTACACAACTTGATGTAATGTAAGCGAACAAAATTAGTTACCTCCATATTGGTACACATACTTCTGGAGCTTCCCTTACTCTTGTTATTCCTTGTGTTTCAATCGAAACTCAGTATTGAGAAAAGATATCTGGTTCACACAAAGTACTCTGCACAGGCCGTAGGCTGTCCGAATTCGGACCTTTCGGGTATTCGATTCGGACCGCGCATAATCCTTCATTTTAGATCATTAGCCCCACTTTTGAAGTTTCCTTTTAGAAAATCACTTTTATAGATTTAAATATATATGAAAAGAACTATAACGCCATAACAAACAATCTTGATTAGCTAATAATCATTAGTCGGCCGAGGAAACGTGTGCTTGAGGAAGCCGAAATATAATGTCTGGAAAGTCCGGACCCAAATATTTTTGAAGTTTTGTATGCGGACCTCCGGTAAAAATAGTTTAGTAGCCCTGGTCTATATTATTATATTTATCTTGTTTAAATATAATTAAATACACGGATATAATATAATAATTGTGTTTCATGAGATACTTTCATTTTCTCTGCATTAGAGGTAAGATCAGGCTCAAAAACTTCGACCCGGCCAGAGTCCTACTAATTAACTGGATTTGCAGGCCCGAGCCTGAAGCAAACCCCAAATTTCATATTTTAATCAGGAGATCTCTGAATTGTCATTGCAAGAGTGTCGTGTTGATGAGGCAACTTCTGCCTTTTTGCAGACCACGGTCTCTCGAGCCCAAAACGCCCCATTTAAAAAAAAAAGTAAGCGATAGAACAGCCAGACCCGGCTCGAATTTCGGGTTCGGGCTTCAGTTCTTAGCTCTACTCTACATCAAATTCCCGTTTCACATTTTTTGATTGGCATATTATAATGTATATTCAGTTACACAGGGGGGTTCTTAAGCCTTGGAAATGTTTATTGGGGTCGCTCTAGACAAGAAACACTCTAAAGAGGTTCGGTTGTCACTCAAATGAACACATTATTTCCAATGTCAATTTTGATGTTTCCAAATTCCCCACCTTGAGCATTTGATGATAAATGAGATTGGAAAGACCACAGGTCATGGTTGTCTCCCTGTACTTGAGGCAATGGTTTAGTACAAATTCGAACTGGTGTAGTTTTCAAAATGAATATCGAACTGAATAGAACATTCATAAAAAAAAAAGAAATGCAAAGTTGGAATATTTGCACATCTGTGACAGACTTTTGACAGGCATTTTAGAGTTTTATACCAATTGGGGTTAGACGACAACAGATGAAGTTGCCCTTGTCCCTGTAGGTGGAATTCTATAGCTAGTCTTACTTCTGGACAAAAGCAGTGAATTGTTTTTTATTTTATAGTTATCATCATACTGTGGAATGAAATTTTTATTTTTGGTAATTTCCTCGCTATTCAGATACCTGCAGAATTATTATGGTAAATGATAGTTCAACCACAAGCGATATGGTCGAGTTGTCTTGTCTTAGTCCATACGCATTAGATATAGTAAATACAAGTTTTTTGTGTATGTTAGAGGTGTGCAACCTGCAGCACACTTGGCAAATGCAGCCCTGAAGAAAAGATTGTGGTGCCATATTTGAATGACATGTGGCCCATGAAACGAGTTTTCATTTTTGTAATTTCAGTCCCTTTACGTTGCGAAGCCTATACCAGTCCAACAGCTGGCTTGTGCAAAGCGAACTACTCGAGTCATAAGATCAATAATCGAAATTTTTGTGCCTGCGACTACAGGAAAGCATGTATGTATATAAATCTGTATGTATATAAAGCTGCAGCCGCAACTGCAACTACAAGGAAGACTATCGTATGTTAAATAAAGCTTTGGTAGCCGCAGTTTTACCCAGTTGTTTCTATCTGGCCCTAAAGGTTGCGCACCCCTGAGGGAATGGCCGAATAAACAATCTAGTACCGGTAATTTAAATACATACTGAAATAGTATTTTTGAACATATTCCTAATGTTTAGTAAAGGATACGTTTCCTGGATATTTATTTGAATCAGATTGGACATTCCTGATACTCATGTTGGCTTTATCCAGTAATAAAAAGGTTTGAATTTGTCATAAAATCAGATTCATTCATTAAACTATATTATTAAAAAGTCAACTGAAAGCACATTTGCTGAAATATTATTGGTTTGGAGACAGAAATCTCCATACCAAGGACTTTGTTATTTTATACACAACTGAGCGCTCCAGAAGTATGTGTACCAATATGGAGGTAACTAATTTTATTCGCTTACTTTACATCAAATTGTGCAGATGGACTCAAACCTATGGCGCGGCGGTGTGGCTCAACGGGCTAAGCGTTAGGAATACGCTCGCCACCGCACCTCTAATTACTCTGCGTGGGTTTGCAGGTTCGAATCCCATGCAGGGATGGTTATGTGCGAGAAGATTGCTGGACTCTTCGCCATCGTTGGGTGGTTCACGTAACCGCTGGTCGGTTACGGCTTCCTCCACCACCAAGTCCATGCTTCCGAAAACAAACAATATAACTAATCCCATACCCGACTTGGAATGGTAACCGGACGAGAGGCCGTGGTTCGCCATATGGATAAGCCGTCTTATCAGCTTTCCTCTCCCCCGGGATAAATATGTAAATCCTATATTAAATTGGCTAACACAGAAAGTCCCCGAACTCGTAATAGAAATAAAATAAGAAAAATTGGAATAAATTTATGGCCTGACCCTAACCTGGTGCACACACTACGGGAGTACGTACTCACAATTGGACCCCATACCACTCATAGTGTAATAAATTGGTTACTAAGACTGGTTTTATACATTTGAAGTAAAAAAATAGCCGTCCCCCATATTGAAACAATTTCAGCATGATAACAATTTTGCAAGATCACACATTCTTTATATCGAATTGGTTGAAAGACACTTTAATGCATATCAAATTATTTATAAAGTTGAATCATATAAAAAAAAATTTTGCTGGAATAATAACTCAGTGGTATTTTTGCTTCAGAACTCTTGATAGTTTGTGAATACAGTATTGGCTTGATTACATAAATTGTTATAAAAAATATTAGCACATTAGTTTATATTATTATTAAATTTGTTCGAGAACACATAGAATACACTTGAGCACATAGCCAAATGAATTTTAAAGTGCAAGAGTATACAAAGTCACGTATTTCCATAAAATGATTTCGCTGGGAAACCTGATTTGTATATTGTCAGATTCGTTATATTAGGTAATCTCGAAATATGTGAACCAAGATGGCGGACACCGGAACGTAGTATGTGTACCAGGACGGGTTAGGCCATAATTTTATTCCAATTTTCCTTATTTCAGTTGTATTAGGAGTTCGGGGACTAGCCAAGTGACTCCCGTAGTATTTGTATTTGAACTTATCGCCTAACCCTCTCCTGGTACACATACTATGTTCTGGTGTCCGCCATCTTGGTTCACATACTTCGGTAGTACCCTATATTATACAGAACTTTGCTTGGTTGCGTAATTATGAAAATGATACATTAAATTGATATACGATATTTATATATATATAGCGGTGGTTGGCAATTAGGAGCTCAGAAGAATTGTTTGGATGGAATGTGGTATAATTAACAGCAGCAGTGGGGAACCTACGGAATAATTATACAATATATCATAAAAGTAATATATTAATATGCATAAGAATGACATTGAAAATTAAAGATGTTTCGATTACTAATACATTTAGATGTGGTCGACAATTAGGACCCAGAGCAGAAATAGAATATTTATACAGCCTAATTCATGTGCTCAATTACACAAGGTTGGGTTGGACATTTTTAA